AGGTACAAAATTTACTGTAAAATCATAATTAAGACTTAATGGTAAAATCGAATGCCTTGCAAACTAGCTAAGGAGTGAAAGTAGAAATAGAGGATATTACATGGCCGCGCGGAGATACGAAATTTCTCTTCGAAAGTTGAAAAATGTTTCACGAGTGAGCGCAGCGAACGAGTGAAATATTTTTTTTCAACACGAGAAGAGACATTTCGTATCTCCAACAAGCGACCATGTAATGATCTATTTATTATATAAATACCAGTGAAATGCCAAACCATTTTACTTAAATAGTTTTTTGGTCTAAAAGGTGTGGTTTATTATGAAGCCATAGCAGTGGTGACATTTTCACATGTGAAGATAACATGTTATTTTCGCATGTGAAGATATCAAGTTTTCGCGAGAAAGCTCACTTGGTATTTCATTGGTGTTTATATAACAAAAGATTATCTTCCTTTATTGTTCCTTTAATCTCATGTTAGCCAGTGGCTCAAGAACACCATAGTTAATTGAGTGGAATGGTTATGAAACCCGTCAGACTCCTTTGTTATATGTTTTTTTGTGGACCTGAAAGCGCACAACGTTCAAAAGAATTCCTATCATTTTGATTGTATTGACCAATAAAAACCTTGCATTAATTTATTCCGTAACAATTTGCCAACAGAAAACAAAGGATTGTGCACTTTCAGGGTGCTTCCAACATAAACTGCAGCACTGTTGTTTTTATCATTGATGTTTGCCGCTTTTCATAACCAGTCTTCTTCACTTTGGCTGGAAAATTATCCCTTAAAAATCGTTTACACATTAGTGGCAATTACAGTAGCAAGAATAATAAATACAGGGTGTTTGAAAAGTTCGTTCCGATTGTAAAATGTATTTTGTGCAAAGCATTTAATGCTTCCTTAGGCAAATGTAAACTGATTCAGGTAGGAAATTTATCTAAATAACTGTTCAAAGCAATTTCAAACTAAAATTTGAAGAAATTATGAATTTTTTTTAAATTTTTCCCCAAATGTGCACGTACGCGAATTTTTTCCCGCCATATTTTTCCTGTCCACAGTTTTGTAGGTTTTCTATTTTCGTTTTTTTGGCGTTTTCTTTTGTTTTCTCTACTCTTTCACGAAAATGAAGGCGTACACTGTTTGTGCTAGAGCTCAGGCATCTATTTTTACGGTACTTTGTCCATTTAGTCAAAGAAATTGTCAAATTGTTGAAGAAGTCCAAACGATGAGAGAACAAGTGGTCAAAAGTAAAGACCTTACAAGACAAACCAAGGAGTAGATGGCCGGGTTTTTTTTACAAACTGTGTGAAAAATATTATCGAAAAAGCTGTAAGTATATGCGTAATAATTCAACAAGACTGAAAGGTAAAAAGAAAACTTCAACTTCACAATATCAAAGTTTCGAGCACAACGGTATGGAGATATGTGACCAACAAAGGTTGGGAAGCCTTGAGGAGAAAAAAGGCTGTGCATACTTCATGCAGGCATGGCATCAGAAGAATTTGCAAACTTTATACCAAAGGACGACCGGTCGGCAACCTCACGTGATGCGAACTCTCTAGTAACCATCTGGATTATCGCTGATGAGACACCAGTACATAGATCCAGCCCCCATAACACTGGACTAGCTAAGACAGCGACCACACTTCACCTGGAAAATTGTGAATTTAGACACGCTATGGGAGCTCGTACATTCTATACCTCACAGGAAGGCATTCTGGTTGCTAATATTTCAGTTAGTCAATGTTAAATGAATAATGAATAACATGCTTAGGTTTACAAAAGTTATCTTTTATAATCATTGAAGTTTAAGTGAAGAAAAAATCGGAACGAACTTTTGAAACACCCTGTAAACTCTTTTCTCAGTAACTAGAGTTATAGAAGCGATGATAACATTGTTTGTGCTCTTGAGGTGTAGAAAGCAATATGGACAATGTTTTTTGATTGACTCCATGTGTAGATGTCTGGTAGACTATTTGCGATTGTGTATCAAATCATAAAAATTTCTGCTTAAGGTTGAGATCAATAGTTTATGTTTAATGTTAATTAAAAAACGGTAATGTGCATAATATTATAACCAATATTAAAGCGCAATATTTAATGTCGAGGAAAATTTTTGTAAAAGCACTGCGGAAGTGGGGTACGCAAGCTGGTAACTCTGGTTCAGTGTCATATAAATATATATTCACCTTTAACTGTTGTCGAATAGATAAAGGATTAGTAATTTCTTGAAACAAACAGTGGTGATATATCGGTGGGAAAATACTCTCGTCATGATTAGTTGTGAAATTTCTTTGTTTGTTACAGCACCAAACCGGGAAGGCATTTAGCTCGCAACTTACGCGAGTTTGGCGTCGCTCGTTCGGAGGAACTGGAGGTGAATCAGTGAATAGTGCAGGATATTCAGGGATTGAGTAGCCAATCAGAGCGCGCGAAAAACACTATCCACTGTTTTAGTATATACTAAACACAGTTATACGCACCTTATAAATTCATCTGCGCTTAACGAGGGTCCATTACTTTCAAAACAACTGCTCCACAGAATTTCACTGATAACACTGACGTAACGCAAAAGAGTATCGAAGTATGATTGCACAATAAATGTCACAAAATCTACCTCAGCGGTCCCTTCATGTAACAATTTGCCAACAGAAAACAAAGGATTGTGCACTTTCAGGGTGCTTCCAACATAAACTGCAGCACTGTTGTTTTTATCATTGATGTTTGCCGCTTTTCATAACCAGTCTCCTCTAATAACTATGACAACACTAAACTGATTAGTGAACTGTTTACAAGTGAATGGAGGTAGTAGCAAACATGCATGCCATTCCTCAGTATAAAGTGACCGAGAAATCAAAAATTAAACGAGACCTATCCGTAGTCGAAGTTCGAGTGGGATTCTGCCGAGTCATAAGTAGCACGAGAAGTCACGTGAGGAAGCACTTGCCGCCCGAGTGATCAGTCTTTAAAGCCTTGAGTGTGCTCATCAGGTACCCAGTATATAGCACAAGCCAGGGTGGCTGTATGATTGTACAGGACATGGGTGTGACTTTCTCGCGCTACTGTTGATTCGGCAGAATCCCAATCAAACTTTGACATCAGGTAAGTCTCTTTTAATTTTCGATTCAGCCTCTTCATCATACACACTTCGAAGTCACGTGACGGAGATTTCAAAGCAACTGATAGCACACGAATTATAACAAAGATAAACACCCTTTTATATTTACAACTCAAAAAACTTGCAACAAGGGATGGACCTGAGTCAATCTCTTTATCATAAAACCTTTCAAAGGGAGCAGCCAAGCTCCTAATGTTGTTTTTTCCTCTGCTTTTCTCATCATGAGGAGCACGTGGACATGCTGTTGTCCTTTTTCGGATCTTCCGTTATTTGTTATAAGAATCCATGTAATCTGAGATCACAATCCGTTTTTGGATTCTACCAACAAATGCACCCTTAATATTTTGCTCTCCCTGATCGTCCTACCTGCTAGCTGCGGGCAATGCTTCTGTAACATTATCAGTTAATTTTACTAAAGTTTGATGTTTGTCTTGTTTTGTTTGTTTTAGCGCGGCACCCCTTGCGTTTCAAGTCAACAATTCCCCCGCAGTTTTTATTTTTAGACCGCGTTCGAGAACATGGAGGGTCTAAGAATGAATACCCAGATCCGGGTGAGCCTATAAATAGATACCGTAAATTCTCTATTTAGCCCCCTTCTTCAAAGAAGCCCAACCTTTCGAATTATAGGGATCACTTTATGGCTTAAAATGTTACATAAGCACTCGGGAACTAACACCACGTCCACTGTTCTCTATTCTGAATATACGTTATATACAGTACGCTTATGTCGACTGACTATACATTAATGTATAGATTTAGAGCGAAGCTTAACAAAAAATTGAGTCATGTAATGCGAAACGGCCAAGGCAAGGAGAATGCCAAAAAATCAATAGGTCTACATGTAACTAACAAATATCATCAGCTGGATTTGTTCACGGTAGCTAGTTCCGAGTTCAAATACCACCCCATGGGACTGGCTGTACTACCAAATTTTTGCTCTTGATATACCACACCTGGCACGTCTTCACATTAACTCTATAGAAGTTTTGGCTCAGGTTTTTGCAGTGTTTAGATGGGCTCCTGGTAATTGGGCTTTGATCAGCATTTAATTATTCATTCAGATAATAATAATTCTGCTGTGTATATCATTAATAAAGCTACCACTCCCCACGCTTTTTATCATGGGTTATTATTTAAAACATCTATTTTGGTTGTATATTTTTTAAACAGATATAAGTTCAAATCCGGCTTTATCCGGATATGAAAGCAGATCAATGTTCAATGAACAACCTCAGCGCTTAAGTTTTTCATCTAAGAGCGAGTATTGGGCCCTTCGATGAAGAATAGACTTTGGCGTTTGTAAACAACTGGAAAATTTTATACCGGTAATCACCATAAAGTTTTCGATTTTGCGACTTTGTTTGCATCTGAGACGCGAAATGTTTGGTATAACCAGAAAGTTAACCTAAGTTAAAGGAACTATAATAATTGTTCATATTCGCGAAGAAATAAGATGAGCCAACAAACGATAATTGTCAAGGAAAAAAAGGATTTTGTCGCCTGACAAAAAAATCTCCTTAAATACTTGTTTCTTCAATGGATTTTGGTGGTCGGGCCATTTTCCATTCTTTTCTAAGAAAAATTCCAGCTGGTGAATAAAATAATGCTATATCGTTTGAAATTTGAAAGAGTACAAGAAGCACTTCAAGGGATTAAAAAGTCTCTTTGTCCTTTTTTTCCCGGCATGAAACTTAAACAATATTATTAAGTTTTTTTAAGAATTAGAAAAGTATCAATTTACAGTGTTAACCTGTGCCTATATAGATTTCATGAATTATATATAAGAGATATAATTTTTTTAAAAAGAAAAAGTTTCTTAGTGCTATAACTCAGCTGTTTTGTTTGAAATTCCTCACAATATTTGTCAAGCCAAAAAGCCGCGTCTTTTAGTTTTTGAAGACAGCTACCTTTCCATGGCGATCAGCATGAGAATAAAAAGACAGGGCAATGTGTCCCTCCACGGTCACCGTAATTCTAACAAGACCAAGTTTAGGTTCATTATAACGCAACAGAATTCTTCGCTCAAATTTTCCATCCACAGTGTTTATCTCCACTGTTATGATCTCATCCTCCTTATTGTAACCACCGATGACAACATGTTCACCTGCAGAGCGAGGTGAAAACCGCATATAGTCTAACTTTAATCCGAGGCCAGATTTGAATTTTGCAATTTCCTGTCCCTCCATTGTGAATACATGAACACAGTGGTAATCGCTGTAGCCTCCTTTATTGTGCATTATCAAGATGCGACCTTCGTAAGTAGCAGTGCAATCAGCTAATTCCTTGTCGCCTCCTCTCTTGAAAAACTCAAAACTACGATCCAACTCACCATTCTGATCGTACACACGAGCCTCCCACGATCCCAGTATAGCTAGTTTGCTGCCGCTAACTATCAGTCTGTGACCGATTTTCGCAGGAAACTTGTACCGTCTAAGTGGGTAAGGAGTTTTGTTAAAAACCTGCACTTCACAGTTGTCACCGTCCAGGTAAGATCGCGATTCACGGAACATTTCAACCAGCAAATAGATCTTCTCGCTAACGTCTTCAGTAACGAGATCAGCAATTTTAATCTGTGTTATATTATCACGACGAAAAGTTTGGGGATTAAAACTATACTGAAATATACCATTGTTATTATAAACATGTACGGTTTCCGTCTGGTGTTCTGCAATCAGAAACTGTCCCAGGGTGTTCGTAGCCATATGCCAGAACTCAGTACTGCATGCCACATTAAACGACCACCTCACTTGCGCTGTAATGCAGCAGTGCTCCATATTAACTCTCTCCAAAACTTGTAACACTCTTTCATCGCGCAGAGGGTCAACTTGATCTTCTCCGATGTCAACATATGGCCACACCAAGACATGTACTTCTTTGCCAACCGTTTGCATGGCATCGTAAATGACGCGATTTACCTGACATACAGTTGAAATTATCTGCATCCGTTCATCTTTACCAAATCGACCTCTGATGTTTAGCAAACCTTTACTAAGTTCGGGTTTAAAGCTGTTTTGAACAGCTGGTAACGAATTGAGTTTCTTCAGGCACTGTTCGCACTCTGGTAATGCCTTCTGCAAAGTACTTTTCAAGTCGCCAGTGGTTCTCGCTGTCTCAGCTGCTGACTGTAACATTGCCGCCATAACACGATATCGAATGGCCGTTATTCGGTCAAAAGTGCTGAGGGCTTCATTGTTGCAGGCGTGTGTCGCGTTTTCAACGGCTAACCTGAATTTCTTTTGTGCGTTAGAGAGCAGACTCTTCGTTGTTTCATCCAACTCGTTGAGTTGCATGTTTCTTATTCCATCCGCGAGGACTATTGCCTTTTCAGGGTCAGTGTCTGAGGGCAAAGTTATTTGTTTAAAGTAATCTTCTTCATTTCTTTCAGATACCTTCGCTGCTCCCAAACTAATATCAGCTCTGCGCATTATATCGACTGCCTTATAAAGACATCCAAGTCCTGTTTCAAAGAAGTCTACAGCTGCATTAAGATCCTTTTGTGATAACGCATCCAACTTGTGGTGGATCTCTTTCAAATCACGCACGATAAGGCTGCGAAATTTCTGATCAGCCACGTCACCTTCTTTTAGCCTCTCCGCTGCTACGTCTCTTCCTTTATCCACAATCAAGCCGATGGTGGCTTTAAATACAGCTGATATAATTGCAGACATGCTTCTTATTACTTCAGAATGAATATTCTTAAATCAAATGTTCTGCCACTTCTCGTGTTTTTACCCAGTTTGTATTTAACAAAGATCGACTTTCAAATCACGAGATCTTACTTCAAATCAGTGTGTCAGCTGACGTAAGAAACGCCCGCAGGAAAAACAGTAAAAGTAATAGATAGTTTTCACGGTGACGTCATCAAATTGTAAAGTCAAAGCAACGAGGTTTTACGAATTCTTATAAACAAAAAATAAATCTTTGAACAAGTTTCCAGCCCCATAGCATGTTTCATTTCGGAAATACAGCAATCTGAATTTCCGAGTTTTCACAGTGCGTGACACCAAAATAGGAATGCCGTCTGGCTGAAATAAAATCTCTCTTTCTGATTGAGCAGTTTAACCTTTTCAAGTATTAGAAGGAGTGTTTATGTGCACGTATGCAAGCTCTCGAGTGAAAAGAAAGAGCTTTTATAGAAAAAGTGAACTCCGGATATTTTTGTTGATTTCCGGCGGCCATATTGGTGTACCAAAACTGTACATCAATGGCGTCTCCAAAATGTGCTTGAAACGTTTTGGCAAATAACTCAGGCACTATGGGCCACAAAGACCTGGGACTCGGAAAAAATTGATCACATATAAGTCTTTAATAACATTTCATTTTCTTGGCTTCTTCCATGGACGGTTTCCAATTTATTTTTTCCGTTGGTTTATTGTTTGTTAACGATTAACATTCAACGGTAACTATGTACTGTGATCAAGTTCTATGTTGTTAAGGAAGCTAGTGCTGTACTGTGTGCAAGACTTTTAGGTGAACTTTGATCGCGGATGACAATCATAGGAAGGACGTAATCCAATACCGTACTATTGTCAATTCAGTCTGGTGTCCGCTTGAGGTTTTAACAACAGAAATTAGTCAAATACAATTCATTTTAATAGTGTCCGCTAAACAGGTGTTCGTTATAAAGAGAAGTATAAGACGTTAATTTCGGTACGCGGCTTAGTATCCTCTTAATAGAGGGTGTCCGCTAATTGGGAGTGCCCTTAATAGAGGTTTTACTGTACTGAGTCAAAAGCAGGACTCACAAACCGTGATTCATCGCCGGGGGAGTTCCCATGAGAGTAACGGGGAGGCTCTCATAGTGAGAAAAATTGCAGATTTTGGTCTCACTCAGCGTGTTCGGGACGGAAAGCCAATATTTTTATCCGTAAAGGTATCGCTTAAGAAAAGAGAAGATAAGTTGATCCTATATTGCTTACGGAGGTAAGCAAAGAATTATCTAAATTATAATATTTAGGAAATAAAAATACTCTCAGTTGGAGCATGGTCCCTATTTGGAGTCCATGTAATCCTGAGTCACGTTCAGAATGGTCTTCTTTAGGAATTCAATTCAACTTTTTAAGCGAAACATCCTTGACCAGATTTAAGGTCCGAGTCGCGGCATGGATTGGGGTGGTATTTGTGCTTATTACGGGACTGGTGGGTAAAATATAAGACTGTCGCTGACAATAAAAGGCGCAGTTTCAATGACTATTTTCAGCGACTTTTCTCGATAAACATTTAGTCTACTAACTTTTATTTTTATATCATTTCTAATTTTTAGATCCGACATCATTTAACGCATCAGGTTACCAGACTAAGCCTATCAGTTCCTTTTCGAAAATGGTCATTGCGATTTTAAGGGTCTTGCCACCATTGGTGACCAAGCCATCAGTTATGATAGATGTAATATATTCCCTCAGGTAAAAGGCAAATACGACGTTCAAGCTGAATTTACGTTAAAAGTTATGGAATGGCCTATGGTCACCTGTTATTAACTTTTAATTTATTCAATTACAGAGGACACTTTTTAATTGAATAATATGTACTTTAGGTGACTCGACCCAGTATATTTTGTAGGCACACCTTCCATCTGTGAATCTTTTCGACTTAAACAAATTTATCTTATTGTAAAACCATTGTAATAACCCCCCAGCTATATATAGTCCTGAACCTAGACGCTCGGGGCGTGTTACAACAATCGCTGATTTTGGTAGTTCTTATTATTCTAAAAGTTGTTGTTTTATTGAACACTAGTACTCCGATTTAACTGAAAAAAACCGTTCTGATTTTGAGCGCCTAGAGACATGAACACGAATAATGTTGTGAAAGTGAAGAATGATCATCGCACTAAATTTTCCAATTTAAGCAATTGGAAAGAAGAAGCCTGAAAAAAATCAGGGCTTCAACGGGATTCGAACCCATGACCTCCGCGTTATCGGTACGTTGCTCTACTAATAATGTTGTGATTGTCTTGTTTTAGCTAACACATCATACAACAGTTGCTGACGGGTACTTATATATAGTGAGGGTAATACACTGATCGGTTAAAAGAGATATCTCGCTTTTTCAGTAAGTGTCTTCTTCAAAAGATATTTCTATGAATCGACCACCACTTTGGGGGGTTTTCCCACTGGCCTTATCTTGAAGATTACACCGTTTGTTAACTGTCCTAAATTCTCTCCCAAAGGCGTTTGGTAATTACAAAATCTAAACCTTCTTATTTCAGAATGAAGGAATTGCCAATACTTGTAACAGTAAAAGTAAATCTTTATTGCGTTTAAACTGTTAAATTACAAAAACTGTTTAAGGCTATGAAGGTAGCCCGGCTATATTATTGTCATTAAATAATTCTTTCTTTTAAAAAATCAAGATCCTGCTAATTATAATTTTACAGATATTGCTGCTATCAGCTGTTAACAAATACGCCCTTTTTTGAGAGGATCATCAAAATTCATAAAGTTAAAATCAGTAATTCAAATGCCAGCAAACAGCATAGGGTGCAGAAGAGTTATTTATGACCTTGGTTGTAGTTAAATTTTAAGGGTGATAGTTCGAATCAACCTTCACGTACTATTTACCCACTAGTGGGGCAGGAACGCGAGAAGAACCCCTAAGAACGTCTGCGTAGGAGGCTTAGTTTACTGTGTAATCTGGTAAAATAAGTATTACACAATGATCGGTGAGAACGAACGTCGCCCGAGGGTGGGCCATTTGGAAAGCAAAGCTTTCCGAGCCGCTGTTACATCGTCCGCAGTCATTTCCTTCAACGGTTTTCCGGGTCATTGTATAATGTCTTGCCGGGTTTGTAACACGATCGCATGACGTTTTGCTCGATTCTTTAGTTAAAAAAAGGCGATTACGGTATCAACTGTAAAAATTTAACTACGACCAAGGTCAAAAATGCTGCGCCCTGTGCTGTTTGCTCGCATTTGAATCACTAATTTCAACTTTATGAATTTTGATGATCCTCAAAGAGCTCCAGTGCCAAGAGCTCTTGTTAGCTGGGCTGCCTGTGGCGAGCCCAGTAAAATGGGTTTCATTTTTTTCTCGGGGGGATATTTCTGGGAAGTGGTAGTTGGGGTGCACTGTCCGCCTCATCTTATCTGCAATATTTCAGAGAAATATTTATAAGGTTAATGCAAGATAGTTCCTCCCCCGGGATTTATGTCGTGAGAACGGACAACCTTTGACCTTATGATGGTTTAACATGAAGAACTTAGCCATGTTAAGCGAAGGCAGCCATTAAATGAAGAAGTCATGTATGAAGTTAGCATACTGCGCTTTTTCATCGTCTCCTTTAAAAGATTCTGCGATGAGTACCCTGTAGGTTTTTCTTCACTATTTGTTGAACTTTAAACCTTTGGATTTTTTTTTCCTTTCCAAAACCTGATTGCGAATCTCTGTGTGTTTGTGGCTGGAGTGTGTGTGTGTGTGTACACCAATTGAATAAAGATTTCTCTCAAGCTGCAATTGGCACTTTTTATCAAGATCGTAGGATGGGTCGCTTTTAATTTTTTTTTCTTCATGTTGAAGTTTAAATCGGTTAAAATGTGACGGCCAATGTATCTTTTTATCTTATTGCGATTCTTGCTCAGCTGGTGAAAAGTCGTTCCTTACAGGAAAGGAATGTCCTGTGGAATGTGCTCATTGCAGATCACCACGACAAAAAAAAATTATAATTATATATATTCACTGGGACAGTTAGAAAGGCTTTGTAACGCAATATCAGACAAAAACAAAACCTAAAATTTAATTTGCTTTGTTAGTTTTAAGAATTCAAAGTAGACGAACCAGAATTAACAGCGTTTTCAGTGACCCATAACGACAGGTTAGGTCAAATTACTCACACCATATTTTGGGGAGCAGAGGGATAAGGGGAGGGGTGCGTGAAAATAACGCTTATTGTTTCCTGCTTAGAATGATGGCTCACTTGCTTATTTTTATTTACAATGGTGGAATTTGAAAAGGTACTATACAGCCCCGACTTAAAAATGGTACTCATTTTCTTGTTACGAAAGTCTTCCAAAAGAGTACAATGTTCAAATGAGTAACTGTTTAACTCTCGCATGAGGTGCTACGTCACGCAATGGTCAGCGACAAGTCTAGTGGCCTAAGTGTGCAGCCACCCCTCCCCCAGGAAAATTGGCAGCCCAGTTAAAATCGCCTTTTGACGATTCTTGTCTTAAATTAATCGTACCTTTTGTCGAAACACCAGGAGGTGTTATTTAACTTCAATCAAATTTATTGTATACACTAATATGAGCGTTTTCACATGACGTCACTACGGCCATTTTGGTGTTTCAAAACACTAAAACGGTGGCCATGTTGGTGTACCAAAACAACCCCGTGGGAATTGAACTCTTTGCTTATGTAAAACTTCCTTTTGTTCCAATAAATTATCATAGATGCTAGCCACGTGAGTGAAAACGCTCTACATATTTAATTCAGCACGTTCGTCTCGCCAGGGGAATCCAAGACAGTCTTGGATTCTGGATTCCACGCCATGGATTCGGGATTTCAATTACTGGATTCCAGTTTTTTTTTTTCAGTTGAATTTGGATTCCGGATTCCAATTGTTTGTGGGATTCCGGATTCCTACAGCTGTATTCTGGGTTCCAAAGTACAGGATTCTGGTTTCCACCAGCAAAATTTCCAAGATTCCGGATTCAACAGGCAAAAATTTTCGGGTTTTTGAAATTCGGATTCCCTTACTTGAGGCGATTCCTCTACACGTAATCTACTGCTGCGCTGCTGTGTTGATACTTTCCACGATGTATATGAACTTTTTATTGTATATGTACTTTAAATTTCTTAAGAAAGAGAAGCACTTTGTACTGATTACCCATCAAATAATTGTGCAACTGATAGCAGAACGAAAAACCAACCTGAATTTTACTTGTCAATTCCTTCCGTCTTTGGACCTCTATAATATTGGGTTAATAATAATATTTAAAAAAGGCCAAATCAATGTAAACGCTCGTTCCAAAGAAATAAGAACCAGGCAGACCACAATTGCAAATTTAAAGTGGTCACGCATATAGCTTGAAATGCGCCTGATTCATTCCGTAGTATTCTTGGCCAAATCGCTGTGGTATTCCAACTGTTCCGATCGTTACTGGTTTTGCGCAGCCGATGAGCAGATCCGCTACAGCCAAGTTAATTAGAAAATACGAAGTGCGATTTAGCTTATTTCGATGAGACAAGTGGCTCGAATGCGGCACGACAGCTGTATTAGTCCTGGCCATCGCGGAGTTCTTTGTTTATATCCATGTTATAACTCAACCTTTCACTGATTTTCCCTACTTTATTGTTTGTTCATTCTTCCCAGGATTCATGAGGCTTTAGTGCTGCCCTTTTTTCCAATTTGATTGGTCCGTTATCCTTTCTTCACGTTCCAAATATGGTACTTGCGAAAATGAATATTTACCAACATCAATTACACGTTTCAACCTTTTAGAGTTAATTACTTTCTACTCTGATCATTGTTTCATAACGGTCTGTAAGGAGAGATTCTTTCAATACTGTCAGGTCAACAATATCTCCTTTACTAAACACTTTTATCTTGCCACGTCTGATGCGACAACGATAGCGCCTTGAACATTCTTCTTGTCCAGTCTGGATTCATTATCATTTCCAATACCTTTACTGTATTTGTTTTCTGGATTCATCGCATTAAATTAAAGCGGACTTTTCTTCTTGTTATTAACTTGACCGTTGCTGACCTTCTTGTGGGGATTGCACAACAGTATTCCTCGGATTCATTATAAGTAAAAGTGATTATGTTTGGATTTCAACATCATTTTTGGCCGTGCTTTCGGGTTCATCTGTGTTTTTTCTCGTACTAATTTCTCTGGAACGAGCCTTCGCTTTGATCTGGCCGCTTCGACATCGTGTAACAAGCATTAAGGTTTACATTTACAGTGTTGCTATCGTTTGGTTCGTTGGGATAGCAATTGGTGCTTTCAGTTTGCTAACCGTGTATGGGATTTCTGTTGTAACCAATTTTGTAATCGCCTACTCGGTCGTCATTGTTTTGTCATTATTTATCATTTGCTTGTGTTATCTGTCAATCCGGAAAAAACTTTACAGCCCAAATCCTGCTATCGATAAAGCAGACTCCAGAAAACGCGTGGAACAAAACACAAAACTCTCCAAGACTATCTTTTTTGTGATAGGCGCGTCCATTGCTTTTTGGGCACCAAGCATGACATTGTGCATAATCAAAACTTTCGTACCAAATTTGTTTCCAAGGTTTGTTACTTTCATTTTATTTATGTTGCATGCGACAAATTCTCTTGTAAATCCAATGATTTATAGCTTTAGAATGGTGGTCTTCAAGAAGACTTTGAGACAACTCGGAAATAAATTGAAGATTCACAAGAGATCGAAAAAATACGCATTGTAGTGATCACACTTTGTAATCTGAGTTCGAAACTTGCAAAATGGGCCCGGTTCAGATCGAACTTTTCAAGAGCCGATCCTAATACATTGAATTAACTACATGAAAAGTTCAGCGTCTGAATCAATTAGGAACGCCTATTTCAATATCTCTGAACACAGCTCAGCCGTTCTTTTCGCCAAGCCCGGCCGGGAATTTCGCCTTTGGAGCGACTTTGGAACGGCTTTGATTCAGAAGCCAAACTTTTCATGTACCGAACCTAATGCATCAATTATTATAACTTATTTTGTAAGCAGTTTGACCGAAATAAGCATTTTTCGCCTTTTGATGAACTTTTTTATAGTTCAGCCGTAATTAAGATCGGCGCCTGAATCAATATAGCCGGTGTAAATAAAATCTGGGTCGGCCTTATTTCGAATTTTAGAGTCGGCTCATGAAAAGTTCGGCGTATGAACCGGGTTTAAAAGGAGGCGACGGGATTTTCTTCAGTCCATTTTCAAAAGCAGAGATGATTCCTAAAGCATCTTTAAGTTTTCTCGAATTTTTTTCAGCGCCAATTTTTTTCTTTTCTCTTTGTTAGCCGCTTGAGATTTTTCGTCTAAAATTTGACGGTCAACATTTTGCATGGCAGTGCCTCCACCGTATTTAGACTTCTTTTATAATATTATTTTTGGGGTGATCCTTAGATAAGAATTTATCAGAGATTGACTCATTCCTTTTAGAAAAATAATAGCAGTAGGGTTTAAGCCGAAGTAAAAGGCTAAAATTGTTTAAACGAAATAAAAAGGAAAACATTTAAACAAAAATTTAAGTAACCAAGACTGATGGGCAATAAAACAAAACCGTCCTTTAGTTTCTTGTCTCACCCTTGGTCATCTGTCTTTTTACAATAATTTTATATTAAGCGTTTTATATAGAAAGCGGACAAAGATTTCTAAAAAAAGTTCCCCTTTTCTCAGTGATTAAAAATTAAGGAAATATTACGTGAACAAACTGTAGTTAAAATCTAAACTAAATAAAATTTGCGAATATGTCACGGTAAAAAAAAATATTATTAAACTGACGGGGTGATAAATAATGAGAAGACATTAACGAAAAAATCCATTAGGAAATTGTGTAATTTTAATTTTCAGTGGACAAAAGCTTTGTTCCAGAAAATTTTAAGCCATCATTAGTATTCTTTTTTACACTTTTCAGGGGGTATAGATGTAATTAGTCGTACCTGTAATAATAGTAATAATATTTATTTATTTATATAGCACTATGTCCATAAAAAAATAATGCCCTATAGTGCTTCACGGCGATAAAAAACCTGCCTTACAATATAAAAAATGGCTTACAAATAGACTCTAACTAAATATTAAAAGGCTGCAAAACAAATTTACAATCAATGTTATTAATTTTGACTAAAACCTAGAGATAGAAGAGCTTAGAAAAAATATATATAAACAACTATTTAAAAAATAAACAAAAAAAATAAATCTAAAACTACAACCTAAAGCTAGAAAACGGTTGAAAAAAGCAAAAAAATACATCTTTTTTCAAAAGAACACTAAACTTAAACTTTCTATCTAAAAGCACTTTTCGTGTGGCAAAGAATTCCATAAAAAAGGAGAAGCGCATAAAAACGCCCTAAAGCCATATAGATCACAGGGCCCAGAGGAGATATGTTTGTCGTTAGAACATCAAAACCCGTCGAAAACCTCTGAAAAAATGGGTTATTTATGATCGCTTTACAGTTTCGTTACACATTCTATAGACCGCAAACCAAGAGACTTAAGGCTCGCAAGATCGGCTTACAGTATAAAATGCGTCCTTTCTTTTACTCGGCACTTCGTGCCTCGGTCGCCCTTCGGGCGACGGCCGAAGCCTTCGGGCGAGGTGCCGTGCGCCAGCGAGGATATGGCTTGCGGTTATTGATTTTCAAAAGTCGATCTGGGTCAGATAAGAAGCGAAGAAATCGTTTACAGTAGATTTATAACAGTTTATAAAGATCCCATTGGGCTAATTAATTGTGCTGAGCAACAGGTATAGACATTTTTCAAGGTGAGACTTTAAATAAGTAATTCTTTTAGTCACACGAAACTCCTCTGGACCCTGTGTATAGGTACGCAAGTTAAATTAAGTTGGTTGAACCAATTGTCGACGATGCGCAGACCGGAGATTACGTTCAGGTACATAGATGTCAATGAGATCGGAGACATAGTTAGGAGCAAAATCATTTAGCGCTTTGTACATGTATGTTAATAATAGTAATCATAACTATAACTAAATTGTCAAATCTGATTGGCTATCAACTGCCCTGATTTTAGCCTAATTGGACAATTTAATTGGACAGTACGCGCCATCACGCGCGCGCTTAAATGGCTTTTTTTTTTCACTGCTAGCAAAAATCTTGGAATTTCTTGTGTTTTGATTTTAAAAAGAGCCTTATATATCACAAATGTTGTTAAAGTTATGATTAATTGGTAACAGAACCTCGTGTCGTCCAATTCGGTTTTTAATCATACTCGTGATTGAACAATTAAATCGGACTCCCGCTACGCGGTCGTTCAATTTTGTTAATCACTCGTATGATTACAAACCGAATTGGACTCCACTCAGTCCTGTTACCATTACTAATTTCAATTTCTAACGGGAACCTGAGAAAATAACTTTCAAGTTTCACAGGAATTAAGAGAATACAACAGAATAAACATCGAAAAAAATACAAAACTCTCCAAGACTCTTTTTATCATGATCGGTGCATTTGCTGCTTTGTGGGTTCCTAGCGTTACCAAATCTCACTGAAAATATTGTACATATCTGATGTTAGCTGTTTTATTTTTTTCATATAAATAATAGTTTTCCTTAATTTATACTCGACCCCACAGGCTTGTTTTTATCAAGCTATGTTTTATCATTAATGTCAAAGTAAAGGCCTTCTTTATTTTAATTTTTTTTTCTTCCTCTACCTTTTGTGTTGAAGTGAGGTATGTAAATCAGTCTCGCAAATTAAATTGACTTGGTGTTAATCATTCATTATCTTTCTTGAAGCTCTTTTGGTACAACTGTGTTGATATGAACAGTCATTTCACCCCAAGGTAGTTCAGGTAACGTTACCACACCGATAGGCTCTCATACGCGTTATTCTTCTCCGAAAAAAAAACTTATTTAACTTTATCGCTGTCGTTATGACAAATGATACGGCAGCCATTGCAGTTTTGTGCCTTCTTGGTTTTCTTTCCTTCACTGTTTTTATTTCTAACACTTTCACTGTGTTTGTTTTCTGGATTCATCGAAAGAAACTAACGCGAACAAGCTTTCTAGTAATCAACCTAGCTGTGGCGGACCTTTTCTCTGGGCTCACAGAAATAATAGAGGTCGCTGGTGGATGGACTTTAGCAAGCCAAATTGGCTCCAACAAAACAATCCAAGGAGTCAATGGAAGCATTCCGCCTTCTTTACAAATTGTATTCTCTTTCGCATCTGTATTATTTCTCGTTCTGATTTCTCTGGAACGAGTCTTTGCTTTGATCTGGCCGCTTCGTCATCGTGTAACTAGCAACCAAGGATTACATTTACAGTGTAGTTATCGTATGGTTAGCTGGGATAGCTATCGGTGTGAGCGGTTTTATTGCTTTACTTGGAATCTACGAATTCATGTATTTCGTGGTTGGTGCGGCGGTCATCATTGGTTTCTCCCTGATAACGATTTGTGTATCTTACCTGTCCATCAGGAAAATAATTAACAACAGAACTCCCGCTATCGACAAAGCAGAAAGCAGAATAAGTGCTGACACAAAATACAAAACTCTCCAAGACTCTTTTTATCGTGATAGGAGCATATGTTGCTTTATGGGTTCCCAGCGTTACATGGTACAACATCAGTGTATGGTATCCCAGCCTGTTTCCTTATTTTGTGACTCACATTTTCACAATGCTACACATCACCAATTCCCTTGTCAATCCAATTATTTATAGTTTAAGAATACCAGTATTCAAAAAAACCATACAACAAGTGAGAAATAAGCTTAAAGTTGTCAAGCGATCAAAGAGTTATACAGTTAGTTAAAATGTTCGACACGTTTTAAAAGGGAGCTTTTACGCCTCAACAACCTGTATTCTAGTTGATCAAGTCAGTAAAAAATCTTCTAATCTTCAATTTCATGCAAATTTAGAAAAATGTTCTGATGATTTGCAGCAAGTTTATATTGGTATGAAACACGACATAATTTGTCGAATTCGAGCTGAATTTAAGCGCCAGCCCGAATCACAATACGGTATTTCCAACAAAACACTCAGAAAATGTGTCCTGTGCGGCTACTCTCTAAGCCTTTAAAATCTATTGTTTAGAATGTGCTGCAGGTTCCTCGAAAGATATACCGAATGTTCAAAGACATCATGAAAGCAAATATACGTTAATAAATATTCGATAACTCACCCCACTGCACTGTACATCAAAAATCACTTACTATAGGTTCAAATTGACGAATATTACTATCCACAGCATCGTGAATTATAGGAATAGTCAAACAAAACAAACTGTTATTGCAGCACTATGGATGTCCTCCCTCGATCCGGTATATTATCACAGCAATCATATTCGCTGCAAATTCTCTCCATGCAATATAAAGTTGTGTTAAGAAAACTAAAATGACCTTACTACCATTGGTACTTTGGCGACCGTAATTTAATATCTACAGACAATCTACTGTCTTTCGTTCAATACGCAACCATAGGGTTAGTTTAATTTTGTACTTTTCATTAAAATTCTATTTTCAACTGATTGCTTTATCTGTGAGATAATTAAATATCGGCCTTGGGAGGCAAAGAGCTCTATTTTTTAACTTCCCTTTGGCTGGTCAGGTGCGTTGTCGATATAAAAACATAAGACATGTAACACAACAACTACTCCGCATTAAGTTAACTACAGAACGCAAACGTCTTGAAACTCACAAGGGCCTAGCGTTTATAAAGATACTTGTGCTCATAACGGTGTGTAAGGCAAGCTGGAATGTTTTAACCTCTATACCGTCTACCACAAAAATCTTATAAAACATTATCTTTGTCATTATGTCTGATGTGACTCCGATTTCGATAGTGGTCATTCTTCTTGTCCTGTCTGTTTTCATCATAATCGCTAATACTTTTACTGTATTTGTTTTCTGGATTCATCGCCACAAACTAAAGCGAACATTCCTTATTGTTTTTAACTTGACTGTTGCTTACCTTTTTGTGGGACTTGTAGAAACAGTCATCGCCGGACGTAAACTGAATGGCAGTAAGTTTATGGAGAGAATTCCAGGATCCTTTCTAGCAATGGCTTCTGGTGCATCTGTATTTTTTCTTGTACTCGTTTCACTGGAGAGAGCCTTCACCTTGATTTGGCCGCTTCGACATCGAGTAACAAGCACCAAGGTTTATATCTACAGCGTGGCTATTATATGGTTAGATGGATTGAGTCTAGGTGTACTTAATTTCTTAACCACGAATGGTATCATAGACTTTCGACATTATTTATTCGCCTACTCTATCATCATTTTTTTCTCTTTATTTGTAATTTGCTCGTCGTATCTATTAATCCGTAAAAGACTTTACAACAGAAATCCTGCTATCGATGAAGCAGACTGTAGAAAGCGTGTGGAACAAAACGCAAAATTCTCCAAGACTCTCTTTATTGTGATAGGCGCATCTGTTACTTTGTGGGCTCCAAGCATGACATTGTACAACATCAACAACTTGTGGCTCGGTTTGCTTCCTGGGTTTATAAATTACCTTACCAATTTCCTACATGTTTCAAATTCTCTCGTGAACCCAATAATTTACAGCTTTAGAATAGCAGTGTTCAAGAAGACTTTAAAGCAACTCGCAAATAAGTTGAGGATTTGCAGGCCATCAAAAAGTTACACGATTAGGGAGAAAATCTAATTATCTTAGTCATATTAATTTTTTGAATAAATGTTAAGTTACCGAGACAAGTTTCTGTAAAAAGCTCCACATCCTCATCACAAAACTGGCTTTGAATTTTCCATAGTTGCCAGTTGTAACTAGATAAATAATGATCCCACGAATTCTATTTGTAAATAATAATAAACAAGCCTTTAAAAATTAAAACCTGCTATTTTTCCTGGGTGTTATTGTACCCTTTGCTAGTGGCTCATTCACTTTACTTTCACAGATAACATACGTTGGTGAATGAACACTATTGAAGTTCAAAATGGCATACAGGAGATTCAGCGTCTGTTTTGTCATCTTTCCTACTTGGTTGAAAGGTTTAGTAATTCCACTGGAGTCATGGTGGGATTAGGAGGGTGGTTAAGTTTCCAGGGTCGGCCAAGATGTGAAATTTTACTGGGTGATCGGCAAACAGGCGGTGTAATGGAAGAAAGATTTCGCTCAAAAATGCCGGTGAGGAGAGCTGCGATCGGTTAGAACAGCTAGCTCAGAAGTCTTGTGGTGTTTTAAGACGCTGTATTGATGCCAAGGATATATAGTAAGTAGTAAGTAAGTAGGTAAGTAGTTTATTTAGACAAGTAACACCTGAGAGCTTACAATGATGTGATATACGGCAAACCTACCTTAAAACTTAAACGGTACCCAAGTTAAAACTATAACTACCTCAGATATAATATCTATTACATAAAAAAATATATTCTTACAAAAAAGATTAAAAGATCCAAAATT